AGTAAAAATATATGTTTTGTTCCTAACGCTTACATGAAGCTGTGAAACAGCCTGGTGTATGTCAGAATAAAAGTTGTAGTTCCTTTATGGTTTGAATCTTGGGATATGGTACAGCGTTTATTGTCCTTGTGTAGAAAGTTAAAATCATTTTAATATTTATTCCAACTGGAGTTATGGATCCTGATTTTTTGATTAATTTTCCCAAATTTAATTGAATTTACATCACCTCTACTGCTTTCAAGATTAAATTAAGTAAAGAAAAGTTAAATTCCTTTTATTAAAAGAAAAATAAATAAATCCCCGATAAAGCAAAAGCAGATTCTGCAAGAAGCAACATGGGCAGGGTATCCTTTCCTTTGAAAAAATAGTCTCATCCTTTGAGAGAGACTCCCCAGAGGAACAGTGAAGACTACTGTAAGACTTATCAATAAAACATGAATGTGTTTTATTTTCCAACTTGTTTGTTTGTGTAAGGTCTTTTTAAGAAGTAGCGGTAAAGATTTCTAAATTCTTTCTCTCGGCTAAAGTATAGTTGAAGAATTCAGCTGCATTATTCTTGCAGTTTTGGCTGCAGGTTTTTTCCACCGCTGTATTGACAGACCTTAACTACTGTACTTCAGCAGTATACCAAAAAAAGCCAATTAAAATAACCAACAGCAATTATTTCCAAAATACCTACATGCAGACAGCTTCTCACTTTAAATGCAGTGCTACCAGTTCTTTGGAATAACTTGATGTTTGCAGATGATCTGATGTTCTCCTCAAATTTTACCTGAGATGGATAAAAAGCTATTTTTACTCTCTTGTAAGGGTTTTAATATCCATTATTTATTAAACTATGAACTGTGGAGTTTACTGGCAAAAGACCAGTTCCTTCCTTTCAGTAAACTTCGAAAGAATCTTTGAATCATAGTAAAAACTGTTTGGGTTATGAGTTCAGATTATGAACCTGCATTGCATCCAACAAAACAAACAAAAAAGGAATTATTTTTAAGGTAAATAGCTATTTGCAATTAAGGATGAGCACATACACAGATACTGAAGACTTGGTACGATAGTGTTACGTTTGTAGCAGTTCTTTTCTGTCCTGAAGTTTTACTTGCTTTTCTCTCAACTGACTAGTAATACTTCAGCTACAGAACCAGTCATTTCATTGATTATTTCTGTTACATGCCCTTTGTTAGGCAACTTACTGTTGAAGAATACAGGCATATTATCAAATATCACTGCTAAGAAAATTTGTGTGCATGAACATATGTATGTCTTGTGAGTGTTCACTGGTTCACATTAGTTATTAATCATTTGTATTGCACCAATAATGTTCAAAATACAATCTTTGTGCTATATAGTTCCTATTCTTATTTTTTATTAGTATTTTTCAAGTCATTCATTGTGTGTCTTCTATTTCATTAAAGAAATGCTGCTTCATTTTCTTTTTTTTGATGTTGATGTACAAAATGTTATGTATACATCAAGAATCGTGAGCTGGGATTCAAACACTTCCATAGCCAGACCTTGCATGGGCAGTCAGAACTGGTTTTTATCTCATAAAATACTATTGGTAGTTGACGGTGATAATAGGCAATCTATTATGTGTTTTAATTATTTTCAGCCACTGCTTAGGAATAAAAGAAGAGAAAAATAAAGTCATGTGTTTCTCTGAGAGTATAAACCTTCAAAGGTGAATTCCTAGAGGGGAAATGAAAGAGGGTGAAAAAACAGTGAAGGGTACTACAAAAACAAAGATGTCTTTAAATCTTGTAGTATCTCTGAAGTAGAAATAAACAAAAAAATCATTTGTTTGGGCCTCGCTTTGTTTTCTTAAAGCCATCTTATATAAAAGCTTGAAAGTTGAGGACAGCTCAACTCGTATTGTCTGAAACTACTCTTGAAGTATTTTTAGTTACCAGTAAAAGGAGCAGTGCCAAGCTCCTTATATGTTTTTTTTTAAATTGTTATGTAGTCATTAAAATTTCAGGTTGCTTGGGATGCATGCAGCATGGCAGGCTGCCTATCGCTTTGGTTTGGTGAAGAAATACAGGAGAAGCCAGATCCTCCCCTTGCTGATGTCAGAGACAGCAAAATGGCCACAGACTTGAGTGCAAATCTCATTTACAGTGAAGATGACCTATTATTTTAGAATGACCACTGCTATTTTAAATGGGGAGAATTAGTTTAGTAAATCATAAAGGTTTCAGGCTTTTCCTTTATGGAAAAATGGTCAGAAAGTTACATTGAAAACCACTCCTACAGCAAGATTCATAAATAATAAATATTACCTCTTATTAATCCATATTTTAGCTTAAGACTGGCTCATGGCAAGTTGCTTCCTCAGGGAATACGGGATTCTTTACAAAAGAAGGTGATGAGCCACAGTCCTCAAGGAATTAAATTGTGAAAACAACCTCAGTTTTATACATGCTAATATAGATCTGTTATTCCCTTTCCACATCTATCACAACACATTCTAAATCGTGGCTGATCTTTTATGCAAATAGCTGTCTTATTAGACATCGGGCTGCGTGTGCCAATGTCTCCATGGGTTTCTCGGGTGTTTGCTATCTAACCATCAAAGCAGTGGAAATGAATGATGATTACTGCATCCCTTTGAAGAACAAAGAGGAGTCGAGGTTCTAAATGTGGGAGTCGGTGACACTGATCCATGTGGACAAATGCGAGTATCTCAGTGGCTCATATTGTCATAAAGAAATAAATCATTAAGAAATAATTTTTGCCTTTGTTTTCTTCTTGTGTTTTATTGGCATTGCTAAAACTGCAAACATCTTTCACATCTGATGTTTTGTTACAAAACATTAGTAACTATTGAAATTGCAAAAGGCAAGTCAAAACAGTCTCTAACAGTGGTGTAAAAAGGCCAAGAACTAGTTTTGCGGTGTAAAAAAGTGTATTTGTTATCTACTCACTTAGCTGAAAGTTCAAATAGTACTTTTATTAATTATTATGATGTAAGCGTTATGTGCAAAATCCAACTCAGACTAGAGACTTCCTGGGAAGTGGAATAGAGGAAAAAAAACCCCTACACAGTGGATTACAGTTAACTGCTTATGTGTTTTACATAAATCAGGGAGTATTCTCTGAATTCAACCAAAGTAATGTATGGAAACATTAGAACACTATAATTGAATTTTCAGTTCAGAATAAAAAATAGTAGCAGTCTTCTATACCTTGCTACAGGAATACATTTTAAAAAGGTTGCTGACTTTGGAGCATCTAAGTTAATTCTATGCCCTGTGTCCCACACATGAAATTAAGGAGCCTGGATTTGTTGTTTTTCATTAAATTTGAAAAGTTTTTTATATATTTATATATTATATTTTATATTTATTTTATATATATTTATATATTTTTATATATATATTATAGAATAGATAAATACATGAATAACTGGGGCGATCATTCCTGCAGCTATAGTTTAAACCTTTTTTTAAGCTATGAAGGAAGTAATGATGAATGTTTAAGCTTGGAACACTGACAGTAGCCTATTCAGCAGTGCTGGGTCATGCTTTTTGGTTCATGATTTGGCATCTCAGTGCCTTCAAGGCCTGTGCTTCCCAGACAGCGTGCCTTGGGAGAGACTAGGGAAGCTTGTCTTTGTGTAACATGGCTGGTTATGCCTAACAGAAAAGGACAACTCTTGCATACACTCCAAGGCCATATGTGTACAATCTGCAGATGGTTTGTGCCTATCCAGGGTGATTCAGCCAAAGTTTGGCCTGTGCACTGTACTCGCCAAGGCTGGTTGGGCAAAGGCAGGGCTTGGCTGTTGTGCGTCTTTAGTGCTTGAACCATAAATCTGACACTTCTGGAAGATGTCAGTCCTCTCGTGAGTGCAGGCATTGATGCTGGGACTTTTGTGTCAGAGAGGCAGTCAGATGGTGAGGCTTTTCACCACTGTGGTGAGTAATGTCTTCAGCCCAGTCAAAATTGTTCAATCTCAGTGTTTTGAACAACAAGCGTGACTGTAAAAGCCAGTTATTTCTTAATTAGGGGAAAAGAGGTAAAATGAGCATGTTTGTAGAATCTTTCTGTATCATTTAAGTGGCAACTCTGTGAGGGGATGAATACAAGACCATAAGCTTTGGCATATTATAAGGTACGTTGGAAATTTGCTAGAACGCTATTCTAATGAGGCTTATTCAGTTATATGGATGGTGTGGGAGCACCAGTGTACCAAAAAGAGCATCTTTGGATGGATCAGAGTGCACTTCTCTGTGCAATCCTAGTGTCACCTGCTCGCACTGTGCAACACATGAGAAGCCCATTCAGGAGCTGGTTATGTAAATGCATTGAAAATGATTTAAACTATCAATACCATGTCTGAGAGGTGTAAAATGAACACAGACCCAGCTCTCAGTTTTTGTTCTCCACTTCCTTTTGATTCGCAGGTATCTAGAGCCCATGGCAGGAAGGTAGGAGAGTGTAGTTTTAGGTATCTGTTCCTCTCTTTTGCTCAGGGTGGCTGGAGGGCTGTGTCTGCAGGTGGGTTTCCCAAGCAATTACACCTGTGGGTGCACACATGCCTAGTCCTGCCTCCAACTCCTGTGTGTAGTGTCAATATGTTTGCCAATAATGGAAACAGCTCACAATACTGCATTCAATCCCTGGTTTACTAAAGAAACAAATTATATAGGAATGTAATTCAGTGGTACTAAATGCTGAATTACAGTGCAATCAGTTTAAATCCTTTATTTTTTCTTTATTTTTATTCAAACTAACAGGCATTCTGTAATGTTAATAACCCATGCAGTGGAGAAAAAGGTATGTTTAGAATGTGTCTAATAGTCTTCAGAATAGTGATGATTAACTCCAGTGTCTCATTGTACTCTGGGAAGGCTTACGTCTTTGTGTATAATCATGTAAATGTTGCTTGTTACCATTTTTTCTGATATTATAAGTAATTGATTTTCTAAGTAATTTATTTAGAAATAATGTTGTGCTTTTGTGTTTGTTTTTGTTGTTGTTGTTTTTTTCTGATACAGTGATTTTTGGATTGAAAACAATGGGTAGAAAAGATGCCTCTACATCAAGGACTCCTGTTGACCAGTACAGGAAACAAATAGGTAAGAGTTCAAAAGAAAAGTCTGTGTGCTTTAAAAAAAAAAAATCTTTTTTTTTTTTTTCCAAGCAGACCAGATACTTTAACAAAATGTATTAGTCCCCTTCAGAAACTTAATTTTGCAGATGCTGTTGACTAATTCATTTAGTAAAACCTTTTATGAAGACAGTGTTTTGAGTAACTTGATAAAGTTCATGCTCTGTGTTTGGAAATACTAGTGAAATACTTCAGTGAAGTGGCTTCACAATGTTTCTGAACCATAGGAACTTTCCTTATTTTCCTGATTGTCTCTATTTTCAAATATGGGCATTTGTAACAAAATACTCTTCCTCATTCATAATAATTTTTGATACACTGAATGACACAAAACTTTACATTGTATAACTGCATTTGTTCTCACACTAATGGAATACTTTAAACATGTTAATAATTTCTTTCTTTAGGTCTTTTTCTATCCTTATCTGCTGCATATGTAGGTAACGTATATAGAGTGTGCACCTACACATGTGTACACATATAAATACTTACATGGCAGACTCAAATCCCTGTTTCTTTGCTTAAATGCAAAGGTGACTTGTTTTTGAAATCCATATATGAGGATTCTAGCTCTACATGTTAAATAATATTACAAAGCAGTCACAGTATTTTAAAAGTACATATATAAAATGAAGTGCCTTAGTCTGTACTCAGTTATTTAAGTAAATGACTTTGTTTTACAGTTGCTAAGCACCCACATCTGTGTTTAAGTATGCAGAAAATAGCAAGTGTCTGGGGAAGAAAAGGTTTACAATGTACATTCTTATGGTGAATGAGCTAGGGTTATGTGAATAATCTTATTTTTATCATGTCTCAATTTTTTTAGTGCTACCTCATTATTTTAATATAACTGTTCTAGTGGTCTTTTCAACTTCTCGTAAAGTTGAAAGTAAGGCATTATTTTGTATTTTATTTGTTTTAGGTAGCTATGGAATGGTCTGTGTTTCCTAATCTTGGGCAGTCTGTGTGGCTAACTTCCTTGGGTCATTCTCTGAGATAGTTAGAAACATGGCTGAAAGCTTTTGAGTGCAGATAAAATGGAAAAATGTTTAAATAGATGAGCTCTCTGCTTTTGTGCTATTTAGATTTTTGTAGAAAACCTTGCAAAGAAACTATTACCAAGTAGATGACACCACAAGTGTTTCACCCAAATGGGTTTGGTGAGAAATGGGAGCCCTGCAGCTCCTCATTGGGATGACTTGTCCTATGTAACTGGGTCATTTGAAAGAGGATGATTGCTATCAGCTCTCTGACATTTTCTCCATGTCTGTTTCATCACAGTCACTTCTTTTTCAACCATCTCCTTTAGGGTTGTATTTTGGTGGGTTTTTTTCTTGTGAACACTTTGAGGTGACCATGGTTAGAGTTGTTTTTTTGAAGTCCTCTCCAGGGTGATAAGAGTCTGGTGATCCGTGGGATCACTGGAGAGACTGGGAGGACGTAAAGCTTCATCTGAGTATGAGACTCAAATAATTACCTCCTGCTCTTCCACAATGTGGTCTGTTTCTTGCAGATTACTACCATGTGGCACAGTGGTTGGACATCTCACACCTGTGAGATGCCAGAACTGATGAGATTTGCCTTGAGCAGGGGAGAGGACACTGTGCAATAGCAAGGAGCTAAGAGTATTTGTATTGGGACCAAGCACTCAGAGGGACCCTGTTATGTTGCTGACTCAACTGTTTTGGCCTGGCATGTTGTCTGAACAATTTGGCACCTTCCCTGTTGTACAATGCAGCATCATGATCCATTGGGTACTGGAAAATACAGTTGGCGCTCATAATAAGCTAATTTTGTTTAGATGTGACACATTGCTCTTAACTTGGCAAAAGCAAGTGTTAAAAATTATCAAGGGGAAGAATCTCATGCTGGCAGGCAAATAAACTACATAACCTAGTAGGTGTTTCTGTGATTGTAGTATTCCATAGAGGACAGAGGGCAAGAACTTAAATAGACTGTGCTCTGCCTGTGCTCTGCTGATGGTTGTTTCAGCTCCCACTCTGGTCATTCACTGATATAGCTATAGAGTTTGCCAATGGAAATTGTTTCATTAAACTTAATGAATGTGAAAGGGAGAGTTTGAAAATTTGTGGATACTATTTTATCCTTTCATGTTGCAGGTGTGTTTGAGCTTTATGTATAAGAATTTTGGGCTAGCTTTAGGCCTGGTAGCTGAGCTTGGTGGAGCAATCCCTCTAGTCTCATTATGCCTTTAGGTGTATTATAGGACAAATAGGTGTACTATTGACAAATATTGTCCAATATTTCCGTGACAAATATGGAAATATTTCAGGGTTTTTGCCATTACTCCTTACTTTTTCATTCTTATATAGCTTTGCATAACTGGGAATAATTCATCCATTTATCACAGGGTGGTTAAGGTTGCCAAGGACCAATGGAGGTCATCTCGTCCAACCACCCTGCTCAAGCAGGGACAGAAAGAGCTGATTGCCCAGAACAGAGTTCAGATGGCTTTTGAGTATCTTCAAAGATGGAAACTACACAACCTCTCTTCCTGTGTTTAACCATCCTCAGAGCAAAAGGTTTTTTTCTTACGTGTTTCTGTTTGTGCCCATTACCTCTAGTCTTGTGGCAGGGCACCACTGAGAAGAGTCTGGCTCTGTCATCTTTGCACCCTCCCTTCAGGTATTTATATACATTGATGAGGTCCCCCTTGAACCTAGTCATCTCCTGGCTAAACAGTCCCAGATCTCTCAGCCTTTCCTCATAGGGAAGATGCTCTAGGTTCTTCATTTTAACTCCTTTTGATTCTTCTTGATCTGATTTTATTTCAATACTTATTAGAAATTATACAGAAAGAATTCAATTTCTTTCTTAAAGTACATTCATCCAATAAACTCTAGATTTGACAGCTTAGGTACTTTCAGGTACTTTTATAGGGATGCTTTAGTGTGAGGGTGTTCAACAGATGACCCCTCAGAATACAGAATGCTCTAATGCTCCAGGCTCATTTGTTTTGGAGATGGACATTTGATCACCCTTTTTGAGATAGGTTATATCTAGAAACAGTGAACAAAGGGAGACTGCACAGGGCCTGTCTTTAAAAAAATTAACTTATCAAATGCATTTAAAGTTCAAAATCCATGCTTGGAGTGATTGTTATCCTTCCTTTCCAGGCATTTGGTATCTATGGATTATTGAAAATATTATGATAGATGCTGGCTGAACAGCTATCTCTTGCTGACTAATAGTGTGATGTTATTTTTTATTTCACAATGTAATGTTTTCTAGCCTTGCTGGATAGAAGGTAACCAGATTGAAACGTTTTTCATACCTTTTTTTTTGATGGAAAATGGCAGCCTTCAAGGAACAACATGTCACAAAGTCATATCAACTTCAACACAATTTTCAGTTAGATGTTTAGTGGAGTAATTTGAAATAAAAGCAGATTTTTAATTTCATTTTGTTCCAAGCTTTCTGTTTTGTTCTGAGTTTCCATACGGCATGCCACATGTTTGCCCTGTACCACAGTTCAAGTTCATGTTGATCACTTCAGTTCAGCCGTTTGCCTTTTCCTCTCCTCCGTGAGAGCGGGATCGCTTGTGTCTTGTTTGCCACTGTGCCGCTAGCAGTTGCTGTTTGCTTCAGTAGCATTTTCAGAGGATTCCCTCAGCACAGAGATTGATACTGCTCTTCTCTGTCAGCTGGCTTTCAGCCATCTCTCCTGCCACCAGCCAAAATTTGTCTGTAGTGCCTCTTAAGCAAGTGCTCTGGTGTCTGACAGCGGCATTGCCTTTTCAGTGGGGAGCAGAGGCAGTCTGTGAGTCACCAGCCCAAACTGGCACTGGCTTCGTGATGCCTATCCCCAAATGGGACAGGAAACAACAGCAGCAACCTTTTCAAACTGGCTTAGGCTGTGCCTGGAGGAGGGAGGATGGCACTGAGGGAGTCTCTCCCCTTTCAGATCTCCATAACAGCCAAGGCTGTGAAAGAAGCACAAGCAAAAGTAATTTTAACACTTTTTATTTATCTCTCACTCACATACCCAAACATATACCTGCAGTGCAGCAGCAAGCAGGGCAGCTCCTCTACAGAGCATTTCCTTCTCCCTGCTGCTGTTTGTGCTGCTGTGCTTAATTTGCTGGAATCTGTGGAAAGGTGTGAGGCAGTATGCATCCTTCTGCATTTATGCAGCTTTGCTCCACAAATGCTGTGAAAATAGCAACAGGTTTTGTACCATATTTGCTTTGTTTACTGTTATGTGTGCTTTAAGTTCCCAGAACAATTCCACATGTATATTTTCCATCCTTCTTCATCTGGTGTGTCGCTTGCTCGGCATGGAAGCTGCAGGATTTGTGGGTAGTGTTCATGACTCGTGTGATTGTGGGATCCTAAGCAGGCATACTGAGAGGATTATAGCATAACTAAAACCTGGTCTAGAAACCAAGAATAGACATACTTTTGGCTCCCATTACTATTGTGTTGCTGTAACATAATTTTTCATGAGGAAAGGTTGTTTGCCAATCATTCAACCTTCAATTTGTAGACTCAAAGGTCTGCCTATTGTCTGCTCTGTATCTCTTGACTTGCCAGCTTGATCCTTTAGGAACTGGAGCTTATATAGGCATAAACCAGGGGTTTTCTGGAGTAAACTAAGCTCCTCACATCCCCTGGAAAGGAGTAAAAGTTATGAATGAAAATACATTCTCTTTTTGTTTTGAAAGCACAAGGTGGTAGGCTGAGCATGATGGCTTGGTGATGGAAGTGGTACTCAATGAAATACATTGCATACTTTGAAGTGAAATGTGATTGTTGTGTTTTGTTTTGCATCAGGAAGTGCTTGTATCAGCATGAAAAATTTAGATTTAATTTCTGAAACTACAGCAATGGCAACAAGACCAAAAAGTGTTTGGACTGAATTTGGGCTGAAAATTTCAAAATTTCACTGTTTATCACAAAACAGGTGAAAGTCTTCTCTGTGAAGAAAAGGCACAGGAACAGAAGGCA